TTTTATAGGTTGCTTCTCTCCTTGGTTAGTTTCCATCCATTATTTCTTGTCTTGCTTTTTGGAGCTTTGGAAAAAATTAATATGCTTGTTAAAATTTAATATGAGACATTTCCAATCTGTTTTGACCACATAGGGATTTTTTTAGTAGATTCTATGGGCACTAAAAACAAAGTAGTTTCTTTGTCCTCTCTTAACTTTCTTTATAGTTTATTCCTTGTTCACCTTTTTTCTTCTGGGCAAATGGCCATCCAAGAAAACTATTGAACTACAACCACTCAGCCTCCATGCCCATAAACATAATGGGGGGGGGCACATGGCAGAGGCATTCCTGGAAACAAAGACAATGCATGAAGTCCTTACATTGTTTACAACATTGCTTTTCAAGAGTAGGTCCTTCCAGTGATTTATACCTTTGCAGGATCAGGAATTTAATTCATATGGGGAGCCCACATACAATCTACAACTTCCTTTCTTTAGAAGGTTAAATGGAAAGCTGGGTTTGAGCAAGGCCAATGGGATTTTTCCTTGCATTGCATTGAATTATAATTGCAGCAGGCTTTTAACAACAGTTTCCCATCATTTACATGAAGAGGGAATGCTAAATCAGTTGCTTTCAATGAGAAGGCTGTGCAGCCCTCTGGATTGGTTCCCCAAAAATGTTCTGGAACATACTGTATGGGAAAGCAAGCATAACAAATCATTTTAAAGAGATATCAAGAGCTCTGTAGCACCTGTTTGGGATCAAAACTGCTGCAAAGCTCTAATCAGTTTTGGCATCAATAAAGCCAAGTTCCAAATAAAGGGAATCCTTGACTTATGACAATTTGTTTAATGACTGTTCAGAGTTACGAAAGTGCTGAAAAAAGTGACTTCTGACTGATCCTCACTCTTATGACTATTGCAGTGTCCCTGGGGTCATGTGATCAAAATTTGGGTGCTTGGCAACTGACATATTTACAACAATTGCAGCATCCTGGGATCGTATAATCACCATTTATCACTTTCCCAGGGGCTTCCGACAAGTAAAGTCAATGGGGAAGCAGGATTCACTTAATGACTATGTGATTCACTTAATAACTGTGGCAAAAATGTTATAAAATCAGTGACAAACCACTTAACAACTGCACTATTTACTGACAGATGTTTTGGGCCTAAACTGTAATCATAAATCGAAGACTATCTGTGGATAGGTAATATTGTGGCTTATCTGCCTAATTAAATGACATTGAGAATGATTGAAAAGAAGCTACACAATACAACTCCAGAGACCAGATTTTTTAAAAAAATATATTTATATTTTACTTATTCCTTATATATTTCTAGCAGAAAGGCAGTTTTGTCATTAGAGACAAATTCTGTTTCACACACTAGGCAATATTTGAGAGGTCAGGAATTATAACTCAGCTTTCCAACCTTCCAGGGCACCTTCAAGTCAAACAATCGCACCACCAAAAGGGCAACATTTTTTGGCCCAACTATTCGATTCTTTTTGGTTGTTGCTCTTTAGGCTGTTAAAGGATGGAAGTACACATTTTGGGAAATTATTTAACACATGGAGAGTAACAAACGGTTTATCAATTGCAAGTAGAATGAAAAGTACAGGAAACCATCATTTAGATTTTTTTTCCTGACCATCTCTAGTTTGTGGCATATATTCAAAAGACAAGCATGGCATGAAAAACGTTTTACATTCTTCACTGAGGCTAATTCTCCACTGATAATCCCTGCATGGAACTACAGTAGTTCCCTACATGGAACTATTACAACCATTTGTTTAGTGACCGTTCAAAATTACAGTGGGGCTGAAAAAAGTGACTTATGATGGTTTTCACACTTACGATCATCGCAGCATCCTCGTGGTCACATGATCAAAATTCGGTTGCTTGACAACTGTTGTGTATTTATGAGAGTTGCAATGTCTCTCAGTCATGTGACCACCACTTGTAACCTTCCCAGCTGGCTTCCAACAAGTGAAGTCAATGGGGGAAGTCAGATTCATTTAACAATTATATGTTTTACTTAATGACTGAAGTGATTCATTTAACATCTGTGGCAAAAAAGGTCATAAAATAGGACACAACTCACTTAACAACTGTCTTGCTTAGCAATGGAAATTTTGGATTCCATTGTGATCCTAAAGCAAAGACTACCTGTATCTTACTTTTTTATCCACCTATTTTGTTTCATCTAACAATTGTATGTGTGCCTGCTTTTAAATTTTCAGCTAGTCTGGTTTGTATGTTCTGATGAATATATTTTATTACTATCATTGATACTGATTGATTGACTGATTTTGACTATTTAAAATATGGGTTAAGTTTCCTGATTACTCCTTTTCCCTTTTTAGGACCAGTCTATAAACTAAATAAAATGAAGGCTTTCAATACTGATTATTCTTGTCCAATGTAAAATTGACATCTGATATGATTACAGGGAAGTTCTAGCACAGCCAGTGATTCATATGATCCAGTTTAGCTCTCTATTTGTGTCACTTACCAATGACTGCCTTTCTCTTACAAAATCTCAAGCATGTAGGATGGAAAAAGTGAGAGATGTTCCTTTCTCCCTTGCCAGACAAATATTAATCAGAGGCAAGCAACTTTTTTATTAGCAATTACAAGATAATAGCAAATGACTTGAGGACATTAAAATGTGGGAATGCTACTGTCATTTTGTAATCATAGGTCGTCTATTACTAATCTCAATACTAGTTGATACTTTATAATTCTCTAGTTTGCTGCAGAAAACCAAATAGGTGCCATACAACAAATAGCTGGCTTACCACCAAGCTAGATTGGTCTTTTGAATTCCTCATGAACATTTCCACAGCATCATGGGATGGTTTCAAGGTTTCTCTATGGAAAAAAAATCTACCCAGCAACCAATAAAGATGGGGAATTAGCATTGCAGCATAAGATTGTTTAAGGGGTTTTGCATGGAAAATCTTATCTTGTCATCAATAAAGACAGAGGGAAAACAATTGTTTTTCCCCAGATTGTTGCCAGATTCTCAGTTAAGAAAAGGGAAAAAAGCTAAGAAAAGGGAAAAATAGAAATGAAGATTTCCTGCACTTGTAATACATCTTGAAATTAAAGAAGGATCAAATTAGTTTTGATGGGTCTTTATGGCTATAGAATCTGTCCCTATAGAACCCCTTTTTGATACTTCTATTGAGCTCCTGGAAGCCAAACTTGGGCGGAATGGGACAACTCGCTTTGGTCAAATCGCCAAGGCTACCTCGCCATGACCATCTTGCTGCAGCCAATTCACCACGGCCATCTCACTGGACCCATCTCGCTGTGGCCAACTTATACAGGACAACTCACAGTGAACAATTCCACATGGGATAATGCAATGTGAAAAATGTTATCTGCCACTGTTTCTTTGACATTGGCAAAAATGGAAATAATGTAGAAGAAACAGTGGCAGATAACAGTTACCGCTTTGAGTTATTCTGCATGGATTATCCTGTGGAGAATGGTCCCACAGCGAGCTGGCCATGGGGAGTTGGCCATGACGAGATGGCTGTGGTGAGTTGACTGTGACGAGTTGTCCTAGACTTCTGAGTGAAATGGGGTTTCACAAATGCAGAAAAAATAGTGAGAAGCATTTTGTTAATGCACTAATATGGTTTCTTTCCTTCAATGAAGCACAGTCAATTGGAAGAGCCGTATCTGAGTCACCTTTTATGGGCTTAGTAATCTGGCATTGTTACAAAGTCACAAAGTTTGTTAGTTAAAAGTAAAAGCCTCTTGAATTGTAATTCCAAATGCTCTCATTTGCTTTTCTGGAGTCAGCAAAGAGAAACTATCTAATTAGGCAAGGGCCATTTCTTTAGGAAGGCAAAGCATGAACACGTTTCACTGTCAAACTAAATGTATAAGATGCCTCTGTTAATTTCCACCACAGCTGCATCTGACACATGAGGGAACTACGTCACTCATATTTACCATATCAAGTGTCCAACTGCTGTGCTGAAATACAAGCTGGGCCTTTTAAAAAAAGATCACTGTCAGAGTAAGGCTCTATGTGAGAAATGCTTCCCATACTTTCTAGCTTCATGCAGCCCACCCTTCTATTTAAATCTCCACAATCCTTCTCTGCTTGTCATTTGCTACAAGAAACAATCTGAACTGAGTTTTAACATAAGCAAACGTTGGAAAACCATAATCAAAGCCATGCCACCAGAAGAACACCAGCATACCACGCCTTCCAAGAGGGCCATCAAAAAAATCCGAATGACTAGCTTGGTTATCAGCTTGGCAAAAGGTTGGCAGCAGTGGGCAAGTGAACACAACACCAAGCAAGCCCAGGAACCTAGTGGATGGGTACCTAATGAAGAGAAATTACCAAATGATCCAAGAGAGTGGACACCTCCGAAACATTTGCCAACTTTCAAGAAAGATGAGTCAAAAACTGAGATACAATTTCCCTCAGAACAACAAGCGTCAAATGAAGATGGAAAACAAAGTCCAAATGAGTCAACAGAAGCTCTTGAGAAATTTAATATTAGAAGTAAAGAAGTTACCAAAAGCGTAGTACGGTCACTCTCTGAAAGAAGTAGTGGCATTGGTCTTCTCAGCAACAAATATGAACAAGATGAATTTGCTGAGACAGGAAAGATCATCAATGACCCTAAAAATATTGATCAAATCCTTAGTAATAAAATGTCTCCTACAAGAAGGAGAAAGTGCTCTAATTTGGTATCAGAGATGACAAAGGGATGGAAACATTTGGAACAAGAAGAACTACAGGACTATCGGAGCAACAGTTTAGATACAGAAGACAGCGGCTATGGTGAAGACACAGAGGATGGACTAGACACAGATAATAATATCCAAGAAATACGGAGTGTTGTGAGGATAAAACATCCCCTGGCCTCACTGTAAGTAATTACTGTATTCTCCAAAATTGCCTTGTTAATAAGAAAATGCTTTTGTGTAAACACGTTAGTGCTTTCTGAAGTCAGCACAAACAGAAGTAGTCCTTGACTTATGACTACAATTTCCATTGCTGAGACAGTTGTTAAGTGATTTTTGCCCCATTTTATTATCTTTCTTGTCATATTTGTTATGTGAATCACTTAGTTGCTAAGTTAGTAACATAGTTGTAAAGTGAACCTGGCTTCCCTATTGACTTTGCTTGTCAGAAAGTCACAAAAGGTAATCACTTGATTCCAGGACACTCCAACTGTCATAAATAGCAGCCAGTTGTTAATTTTGATCACGAGACCATGGAGATGCTGCAACAGTCATAACTGTGAAAAACAATCATGTTATTTTTTTCAATGCCATTGTAAATTCAGTCACTAAATAAATGGTTCTAAGATGAGGACTTCCTGTGTCAGTATGTGATTTATTCTATTCAGTGCCAGGTCAGTCATATTTTGGAACACTAATGGAGGGAGGAAATGATTGGAGGGGGTCTAAATTATGAGCTGACATGTATAAATAGGCCACAGAAGGGATGAAGTTTCTCCATAGCAGAAGCATTCATTTATCGCCAAGTAGCCTTTTTATCTGAAGCCAAAATGAAAATGTAGGAGCAGAAAGCGAAAATGGAAAGGATACAGGAAGAGGTCAAACTTTAAATATGAAAAATGCTTTATATCTTCCAAAAAAATTGCAAGAATCTAAAAGTTGCTTGCATTAATATTTAATTAGATCCATTTTTAAAAAAGAACTAAGGCAGTTATATTTGGAATAGGAAAGTTTCTGCAAAGATACAATTTAACCCGTTTTAGAACCCTTTGAGAGCTGTATGCAACGAAGCTTCATTTTAATGTATGCCGATTAGTGTACATTTAAAGTGACAATAAAGTTATTATTCTAAAACAGGGGTGTCAAATTGCCAGCCCGTGGGCTGGACACGTCACGCAGAAGCCGCGCCCACCCCATTGCCGGCAATGGCAAAACAGTCCCAATAGGTTGCGTAACGTCACGTGACGTCGCGAGTTTGACATGTCTGTTCTAGAATGATGGCAGAGGAAACCATTAGGCACTTCTACCTGTTTTTATTTGCTAGCCCAATTTTCCCAATGGAAAATTGGTTTTGGACACATCTGCAGGGCAGAAGGTTGAGGGCTGGGACAGCCGTATGCTGTCCACGAACATATGGGCCAAGCATTCCTTCAATTGTTTAGTCCAATCAACTGTTGTTATATTCAGGTAGTCCTTGACCTATATCCATTCATTTAGTGACCATTTGAAGTTACAACACCACTGAAAAAAGTGACTTGCAACTAGTCCTCACATTTATGACTGCTGTAACATCCAGTCATGTGATCAAAATTTGAGTAGTTGGAAACCAGCATGTATTTATAAGGGTTGCAGCATCCCAGGGTCATTTGAATGCAATTTCTGCCCTTCACAGTGAACTTCCGACAAGCAAAGTCAATGGGAGAAGTTGGATTTGCTTAATGATTGCATGATTCACTCAACAACTGTAGTGATTTGCTTAACGGTTAATGGTTAAAAAAAGGTTGCAAAATTGGGCACAACTCACTTAACTTCAGCCTTGCTTAGCAACAGAAGTTCTGGTTCCAATTGTGGTCATAGGTTGAGGGCTGCATGCATCAAAAAAGAGACATTTCATTTCATCAATAGCTACTTGTCTACTTATTCATTCTTACAATATTCCTTATTTTTTGTCTTTGACCACAAGAGTATCCTAATTCATTTTTCTTGCACAGCTTACTAGCCTGGTGTATGTGTGTATAATTGCATTCTATAGGGTCATTCATATGTGTTAAAAATTGTGCAAAACTATCAGAGCAACCAATGGTTTTTATACATTAGTATGCAGTTTTGGTCACCATGATGTAAAAAAGATGCTGAGACTCTGGAAAGAGTACAGAGAAGAGCAACAAAGATGATTAGGGGACTGGAGGCTAAAACATATAAGGAATGGTTACTGGAATTGGGTATGTCTAGTTTAACGAAGAGAAGGACGAGGGGGGACATGATAGCAGTGTTCTAATATCTCAGGGGCTGCCACAAAGAAGAGGGAGTCAAGCTATTCTCCAAGGTGCCTGAAGGCAGGACAAGAAGCAATGGATGGAAACTGATCAAGGAGAGAAGCAACTTAGAACTAAGGAGAAACTTCCTGACAATTAGAACAATTAACCAGTGGAACAACCTGCCTCCAGAAGCGGTGAATGCTCCAACACTGGAAGTTTTTAAGAAGAGACTGGACAGCCATTTGTCTGAAATAGTGTAGGGTTCCTGCCTGAGCAGGGGGTTGGACTCGATGACCTCCAAGGTCCCTTCCAACTTTATTATTATTATTATTATTATTATTATTATTATTATTATTATTATTATTATTATTATTATTATTATTATTATTATTATTATTATTATTATTATTATTATTATTATTATTATTATTAAGCTATCATGTCCATAACCATGGCCAATCTGCTCACTCATTCAATCTATCTAGCAAATCTAGCAAACTATCAGGTGAGGGCCAAACAAAAAAGCTTGATGAATGTGAAAGTCTTCTATATGTTAACAGGTGATGATCTGCACTCCAGTAAATAAGGAGCAACTATAGCAAGACAGAGACAATATTCTGCCGAGTTTGAGAACAGAGTTTCATTGAAAGCCGTTTCAGCTGAAAGTTCCCCCAAAGTCCAGTGGCTTCATTGACAATTCACAAATATTTCTAAACAAATGAGATTTAGCATATATCAGTCTTAGCAATGGTTCATTCAAGTTAACATGAAACTGCTCCAAGTTAGCATGAATTACTCACTAAAAATAAAATGGAACTGTTGCAGCGATGTAAGTAATCATTAGCCAGATCATATGAACCTTTCTAAGGTTTTAATGAGGTCAAACATTACTGGGGCTCTCCAGAAGACAAGTGTGTGTGTGTGTGTGTGTGTGTGTGTGTATGTACATATACATACATACATACATACATAAATATATATATTCCACAGTTAATGTATTTATCTTATGCTCTTTTATGATGTAGTTTGCTTTTTGTTGAGTTCTTATAGAAGTATAGTGAAACCCAAGGAAAAAATATAGCCTACACTACACTCTAAGCTCTAAGTGGCTGAGTTTTAAAACATGCTGAGCCATATTGTTATCTTACTGCTTTCAAATTGTTTTCTGCATTTATAGACTTTTATGTTTTGAAATATAGTTGTAGAGTTCAAATATATTATTTCAGTTATTAAGCTTCCATAAAACTACCTATTCATCTATTATCTATTCTCTCTACGTCTAACTCTCTATCTATTGTAGCATCTACCTAACAAAAGAAATAGTTTTGAAGAAAGCAGATACATTAGCATATGAGTTGTAACTTTTTAAAAAATGACAAGTGTTTGTTTATGGCGTACTAGTAATTTTCTGACTCTCACTGGTCACCTTCTGTGGGCTGAACTATATTTAACCGGTAATTCTTGGAATTATTTCCAAGTGGTTGGAAATGGAAAGAGATGAAGGCTATTCATTTCTTTCCTCCCCAGCCCTCTATGCCTGCTGGTCACTCAACTGCATTTGCCCCCCACCCAAAACAAAGAGATTGAAATATAATCCTTTCAGCTTTGAATGAAAGTGCTAATAATAAAGAGCTTCTTTATTCTCTGTTTGCTTGAGTGTTGTTGGTGGGTTTTGAGCTTATTGTATTGTTGAAGGTGATGGTGATGTCAGAGCTTGTGTGGTCTTCCAGTAGACATTTCCACTGATCAAAAGTCTCCCTGGCTGCCCAGGCAGAAAAAGACTATTGGAACTGGTTTTTCTGTTCTGTTCTGTTCTCCTGACATCTCTTTAAAATCAGTCACATTTGCAGGATGCATCTGCACCCATTTGAATGAAATCCTGCCCCTTCTTCCATGCAACATCCATATGATACACATTAAAGGGGGGGGGAGGCTTCAGTCAACCAGATGTCCTTGTCATGTTGACTTTTTGACATCTGTAGGTTGATGGTTTTAATTTAATCAAGATTTAATTGAAACATAGGAACCAGGAAATGCAGGCATCAGGCAGAGAATCAGTTGTGAATGGTAGGGCATTCTACATAAGCATTTACTATCCCACAACTACAGTAAATATCAGAAATCTACATTTCCCCCATGATAATTTCACAGTTCTTTTCTCCTTTAAAAAAAAATCAAATTCTTATTTAGGATTTGAATGAGACTTGATGGAGAAAGTTACTATGTATAACACACACACATAAACACAAAAAAACTAACTGCATACTATAGTATATCTGAATCTTCTATTCAACAGTCAAAAAGGCTGGTCATTTTAGATAGGAAAGGCAAGAGTTATAAACAGCAAAGAATTCTTCTGGAAAACAGAGCTTGGGCATTTGGAGGATGAGGTTAAAGCAGAGAGCTGAAGCCAAAATAAAGCAGTGCTAATTTAGCCCACTATAAAGGCAACTAAAATGGAAAGATGATGATAATGTTCGACTTGAACGGATTAAAGTATTAAGTGAAATTTCTTTTCTTTATTTCTTTTCTATTTCCTTTCTTTCTCTTATTTTATTTTTCCTTCCTTCCTTCCTTCCTTCCTTCCTTCCTTCCTTCCTTCCTCGCCCATCTCACTGATACAGTAACTGATAGAAAGAAATGTCAGGGACACACATGCTCTATTGAGACCTGCAGTCAGCTCTACCCCCACCCAACCCTGCACTCTTCATCTCTGCCTCTGACTATGCCATATTGATGGGAAAACAACCTTGGCTATGTTCAGAGAGATCAATATTTCTGTACTTGCACTAGGAGCCAAGATGTAATTTAAATGCTTTGGAGGCAGATTTCTCAAAGTATCCAGAATAAAAGACATTTGTTAGCATGCCAAGTTGTCTAAAAGCTGATAAATTGACTTGTGATTTTTAGTGAGTGGACAACTGACCCGTT